TATATATATATATATATATATATATATATAGATTCAAGTATTGGAAGATTCAACTGTAAGGTCCAGAATTTGGGTTCCAGAAGTTCCAAGGTTTTGTAGAGTATTAGCATACCCGGATTAGTAACTTACTGTGCATATTTGGAAAATATTCTAATTTTCTCATGATAAAAGACAAATATTAATTACAAGCACTGCTTTTCCCCAGCAACTTATGAATCCAAACAAGAATGATGTTTGACTTTCCTTGAAATGCTAGAATTATTACTTAGCCCCGTTTGTTTCTCAATTTTGAAAAAATGAGAACGAAAAATATAACCGTTACGAATCTCACACCAGAGATAAAAATTCAAATTTGATGGCTTGATATGATAAATAACGATCATATTTTTCATTTTAATAAGGAAAAAATAAGAACCAAACAAAATAAAATATTATAGAATTTAAAGACATTACTAATTGTCAAATCAATATTTGTAGAACTAAATTATTTTATCAAGCAAAATCCAAGTCATCGCCACAAATTTTTGTTTCCTAAATTGCAAGTTCAAAAAAAAATATTTTTTGATGTTCTTCACAACGCTAATGTCATCCTCTACAATTTTTCAGAGATTTCTAAATTCTCATTTCTTGCACAATGCGAAAGTTGATAATCTCATCCCACCAGATTGAAAATGCCTATTTTCCGAAGTAATTGAAATATTGAAGTGAGGATTTTTTTTCCCTCTCCAAATGGTTTTTTTTAACCGCACAATAATTTATTTACAATAAAACTCTCAACACTGCTAATTTTCAAATGTATGCCAGAACTTAAATTTTACTAAATTTTTATTAATTAACACATTTTATCCTTAATAGAGACCAAAAAAATACATCAGAATGGTTAGATTTCAAAACAACCATTACCGTGCACGTTCATGTCTTATAATAGGGAAGTATGCGTGCATTATCCAGTCGAACATGTCAAACCATGGGCACAAATATAGAAATGAGAGATGAAATATCATACGGTCCTTAATTAGTCAATTGTAAAAAGGTCCTTCAACAGCAGGACCTGATATACACGAAACTGGCTCGGATGACCTTAAATAAGAAAAAGTGGAAAAAAATTAAAATTAAAAACAAAACGTCAAGAAGCAACCTTACCCTAACCTATAAAAATCATTACAAGAATTACAAAAACTTGAGTTCCATTACTTTGTGCAATTGCACTGCTCCAATACTAAATATTCAACCAACAAAATCCATTTGAGCCTTTGGACAATGATAAGACTACTTCAACCAGAGAGACCAAAAGACACAACACCGAGGAGCAAGCAGTACCTTTCTCTTTTAAAAAGACTCACCACTTTTAGTTGTAAAAAACAGAAAAATGTAAACATGCTAGCACATTGAAATGCTCTAGTTCTGTTGAAAACTTCCTTGCTGCCATAGTAAAAATTTTATAATCTATTTGCCGAAAAACGTGTGGTTGACAAAAAATGAAATCCACCTCAAGCACAACCCAGATTGCAATCATTTACTGTTCAAGCCACAAATATACTCAAAAAAACAAGTAATCATCGAAACTTGCCAGCACCCGCGAAACATAGATTCAGACAACACGGCACAACCTAAGCCACTTTCACCTGATTTTAATTTGATCCAAGGCTCTCTTTTCTTCCAAGATTTTAGTTGCGAAAAGTAAACTGTGAAAGTAGTCTTGTCCTTGAATTTTACTCCAGCAGCTTGTCAACCAGCTCCTAGCTATTCATCTTGTATCATGTTAACAAAACTAAGACCTAAAAATGTGTGTGAGGAGCTAAGGTTAATGATCGAACAAATTACTCCAAAAACTATGCTGGAGCATGCTTTCATATTTGGGTCCGGCATAGCAAGATGAACAAACATGAAAGCAAAATCACAAATTGCTCAGAGTCGGAACAATCAATGCACTACTCTCAATAGAAGTAACACTCACCTGATAATTCAACCTATCATTTAGCAGCATTTTGGAGAATATCCACTTGCCTCTATAAAGACATTCACACAGCTCAAATCAATCCACAGGCATAAGAAAATCTCCCCCACCAAGTACACAAAAGGATAAACAATGAAGAAAAGGGGGTAATGCTCAAAGTAAGCGAACAACCTACCTCTGTCTCCAGTAAGAGAATAAATCCATGAATGCAATAAAATTAAAATGTTTCCCCAGAATATTAGTACATAAAATGCTCTGCTTCAAGTTTAGTATGGACGTGAGCGGTTTCCACCATGATAGTTCCTATTTGGACCTGAACCGCCACCGTCTCTACGTTTGTCACCTCCATAGCCACCTCTACCACCGCCCCTGTAAAACAAGCAATTGATCAATAACCGAAAGTATAAAAATTAAATACCATGATGTGTAATATACTATTGTTCTTGTAAACCAAGTTTCAAATATAACGCGGACACAAGAATATGTGCCTATTTAAGGCAAAAAAATAAATATATAATATCACGAGGCCTATGAAACTACTAGTTTAACTAGAATAAACTAATTCATGAAGGATGAAGCACTCACCTTATGACATAAAGACTAGTGAGGTTTAACCATAAAAGTAAAATGTCACACACTAGGAAATCCAGAACTAGGTCTAAAAACAAGTAGTGTCCCCTAAAATAAAAAGAAAATTAATATCTTGAAAAACAAAATGAAATTATGCAAAACGTACAGGTGAAAACGCAATAGAGAGAGACTCAATAAGGAGTATTTGTCCTAGATAATAGTCGACTGAAACCACTAATTACCTTCCGTGTCTCATCCGCACCCATCGCTTTCAGTAAGACAAAAAGTAATAATGTGACGAGTATTTGCCTTTTTGTACCAGTTCATCCTATGATGGGAGGTATTAGTTTCACCATGCTACTCGCTGCTAAAAGGTACTGATCTGACAAGGCCACGTGAAAGGTTATTTTGCTGATGAACTTCATGACAGAATATCCTCGTCCAACATTATCATCTCTAGAACTTTACACAGCAAGTAGCATCCTAGTTCCTTATTTTAAGCTCTTTCACCAGAAAATAGAAGGGCCACAAGGCGAAGGGATAACATATCCAGAGTGACACTAATTTCTATCAACACACTGCGGACATGCGTAATCAAACATCCACAACACCATTACTACACAAATATATCACATCGTACCCCATATATGTGAAAAACCACATTTGATGCGCATAGATCAAGGTGTTGTAAGTTATAAATTTTTATCCCAAATCCAAATCATTCCTACTTAAAGTCGAAACATATCCCTAATTGCATCAAATCAGAGTTGGCTGTAACATGAACGTGATACATGATTAATTAAGCTATTAAGTCTAAACATGAACATATCCCTAATTGCATCAAATCATAGTTACCTGTAACATGAACGTAACACACGATTAATTAAGCTAGAAATTCAGTTATAAGTAATTTATCAATAAAAAAGATGCAAAGTAACTATTAAAGTTAGTCAAAAGTAAGCTTTGAAACAACCAATAGGTTTACTTGATAAAAATAAATAAGTAAATTGTTTTGAAAAAATATTCTACACTATTCTCAAAATAATTAACTTTGTTTCTTATAAAAATTAAGGGACATGACTAATACATCTAAATCCCTAAGCTCAAACTTTATTTCTATGTTTTTTATCAACAAAGAAGATGTAAATATAAATTTATTAATGTTAGTCAAAGATTGAAATACTTTGACTATTTGAAAGAACTTCTACCTACGTTCAAAATAGGCAACTTCTTATAAAATAAAATAAAAAAATAAAAGGGCTAGAATTATATAAGAAAAAGAAAGTTTAACTTGCTTTTAAGCATAGACAACAATGCTTATAGTTCATCGTTAACATGAACCACCAATATGAACATGCGGCTCTAGAGGAATATTTTGTCTTTGACAAACAATTCTTCCAGATAACTATAGTCATGAATACGTGTTCCAATGAGACACAATGCCCAAAAACCCTAACAAATGTCTACACTCAGGCATTTGACAATTGAGTGGAGAATGTCTATCAATAGTAAAGCATTTTAGAATAGCAGATTGACCAAAATATGCAGAATAGAAACAGAAATTAACCATTTGTTCAAGAAAGGGATGATCAAAGTAATAGCAGGCAATAACAGCAGAAGTGGTAGTACAATATGAAAAAAATTTAAGTTGCAGAAGTTAAAAAGTTCTAGCCTCCCAGGAAATTTTCAAATGCTCATTAAAGACAACATATAAATGGACAAAATTCAGAATTGAGGAAAGATGGGTTACCCAGAACCATATGGAGGACCCTTTGGAGCGGATTTCTCAGCCATTGTGACACTAATTTTGTGACCTCTAAGTTCATGCACTGTTTAAGTCAGACTACTGTCAGGTATATGACAAACACAAAAAAAAAAAAAATTTTAACTCCAAGATGACACTCAATCAAGTTCTTACTGTTGAAAAAACCACCAGCTGAATGTGCAGCAGATGGATCTTCATATGACAAAACTGCATCTCCTTTGCTGGTTCCATGTTCATCTGTGTATATTTTTATACTCCAGGGCCACTGGTCCTTGTAGCCTCGCTTTTGCTTGATTCTTGCTACCTAGTCATTGGAAAATTATGAAAGAAAAAAATTCGATGTAAATATAACTGCTTAAAGAAATCTAATATTAATATAATTCATTTGATTAGTTAATAACAGAAATGAAGTCCACATAGTGAACATAATCAGAAAGCACTCAAGATATGGAAGTAATATTTCCAAATGCCACCAAATACAATCCAGAACAGTAACATCAAATTTATGCAGCAGAGATATTAACACTAGGGAACAGATAGCCCTTTGAACAGAAGTGAACAGCAGGAAAATTAGTCCTGCTATTTAATTATGTATCACCTTATATAGAGCAAAAAATTAACATGACAGAGAAATTTGCACAATACTTGTCCAATACTTCCAAAAAGATCTCTAAGCTCGTCCGTGGTCACATCTGGAGGTAAATTCGAGATATAGATTCTAGCATTGTCACAGGAGTCACCACAATTTTCATCACACTGCTTGACTGCAATTGGAGCCTCTGTTGGAGCACCACCATAACCTCCTGCTGAGTTTCGAAAATCTCCCCCATACCCACCAGGAGGGCCACCTCGTCCGCCACCCCGGCTATCATTACGTGGATCACCACCATATCCAGCAGGAGTAGCATATGATGGAGGATAAGAAGCAGGGCCACCAGTATAGCTTGCAGGAGGAGGAACTGAATCAGGAGCATAATTAGGGCTCCCGCCATATGCATGAGGAGGTGGGGGGTAGTTATTACCCGCTCCATTGTGAGATGCAGGAGCAACTGGAGCATCCTTCCCATAACCACCATCTCTGCCTTGACTACCACCATAAGAACCACCTCTACTATTTCTTCCATCATAATCATTACCACCTCTGCCACTTCCACCATCATAATAGTTACCACCTCTACCACCTCGAGTATTTCCACCACCATCACCTCTACTCCCACGATCATCAGATCCAGCAGGAGACGGTGCACCACATTTGTTACACTCAACTCTTCGAGCAAAATTCAAATTCCCACACCTACATCCAGGGAGTTCAAATCAACTACAGTTCAACAGTAAACAGAACAGAAATATCAAATAAACTTTATTCTCTTAGTAGAAAAATCTTATAACACAAATATACCAGATATATATGCCACCAGAAAAATAAGCACATTACATAATTGATGGGATGACGAAAAATGGAAGAAAGATACGCATAGGATATCATCTATTGAAAACAAAAATATTCCAAGTGCTGGGATATCAGAGATGCAGATTTAAGGTACGGGATCTAGAGAACTTGCAAATAGTTGTATAGATTGAAATTGTGGTAATACTTCTAGTTCCTTAATAAAGTTCCTTTGTGAATTAAATATATTATTAAATCCTCTTTGATCCCATCACATGGAACACCACCAAGTTGCATCCATACAAACCAGAAAATATACAGAATTTGTGTTTTCCTGAATAAGTTCAAATCTAAACACCGGAAGCACAAGTAAAAGAAACATAAACTCCTATGAAGGATTCAAACTAGGTACTGTATTTTAGCCTCTCTCATGTTTAATTCCAAGTAAAACGCTAGAGAATAAATCATACAAACATGACAAACGGACGGTTCGACTACTAATAAAATTTTCCTTATACTTGAGGTTCATAGTTATATTTATGTTATATGAGAAGTACGTTACCCTGGATTAGGGCATCGCCAATCGCCATCCCTGCCACTTCCACCGCCACGACCACCACCTCTGGCTCCGCCTCCTCCGCCGCCGCGTCCCCCTCGATCTCCTTGGTATCCACCACCACCTCCTAAAATAATAAGAAAAGATCTCGGATTAAAAGCAAGTAATCACGAAAATACAATTATATAAGGCCAAATCCGAAAATTTAAATCCATATATCAAAATAAACAACCAAAGTAAATAAAAACGAGAAAAAAAAAGTATATCAGCCACTTCTATTACCTCCGTATCCCCCACCTCCACCTCCCCTTCCGCCGCCTCTATTACCACCATAGCCTCCTCCGCCTCCGCCACTTCCATAATTACCATATCCACCGCCGCCACCACTACTTCCTCCGCCATATCCTCCGTAGCCTCCCCCACCCATGGGCGGCGGAGCAGATCCATCTCCTTCGTAACCGTACGCACCCGACATGTTTTAGATTAGTCTTGGAGAGTTGGTTAAAATCTTCTTTCGAGAATTTATAGATCAAAATTTTTACAGAGAACGAAAGTGAAATGAGAAAATTAGGGTTTTCTGCAATGTGTTACATATACCAAGTCCACTCAAGAATAGAGGAAATTCTTTGCGGATTAGTATGTCGGGAGATTGTTCTGGTACGCTCAGGTGTACATAATGTGATTAATGTCAGCCAATCAAACCCGTGCAAGTGGCACAATTTTTTTTTTAAGGCATGTTTTTGGTATTAAAGAAGAAGAGATCTAGGTATGATTTGGCTCGGTCGTGCTCACCTAGTGTTTACCTTCGAACGTTAAGCGAGAATGTGGGTTGATATTGAACATACATAGGGCAAGGCAAATTATCCCAAAATCAACTAATTGGTTCAATTCAAAATGACTTTTAGGTCAATTTTGCAGGATGTCGAATCAATTTTAGGATTGGTTGGAAAAAAATATATATATAAATAAATAAATTTGACTTTCAATGATAAAAATATCATTGAAATCGACAAATCGAACCAACTCAGGTCAATTTTTTACTACTATTAGGTTAGGATTTCACCCAACAAACCTATGCCCTACCTAGATGTGCAGGTGATTGGGGCATTCGATGAAGAAGTTTGAGGAGGTTGTGTAGAGATGTGTCTATCATGTAGGATTGAAAGTCATGCAGTACTAGATTTACTTGAAAGTTGCACTGCATGGTCGAAATTGCCTGGTGGCATAGGTGGAGTTTCTTGATGGCATGTGTGGGATTGTACGATGGCATGGACGAAAGTGCCTAGTGACATGTGAGAACATACGCGATAGATTCATTAACATTTCCTAATGGTGGAAGATGAAGTGCAGTAGGTTCGATTATGAGCATTGATTGCAAATGATGCATGCATGGATGATTTAGGCAACAAAGCATTAACTGATTTGAGCTTGCTGACTAGCATAGGGATGACATACGACTTGGTGATTAAATAAAGTTCTTGAGCGCTATAGTCATGATTTAGTGGTAGATTGAATTGTATGTAGCTACCCTTTTTGCAGTTGAGGTGCCAACTATACACAATTTTCATATATTTGGCTAAATGGTGATCTTAAAGTCTTTGTTAGCCTTTCATTGAAATTCAAGTTTCTTTTATTTTTGAGAAATAAAAAGTTGGGAAAGAGTTTTATGGTGTCTTTGTTTTTCTACATTTATGTGCCTTTAACTTATTTTGTTGGTCACCTTCAATTTTTTCAGAACAATTTGCATTTTTAGGCTGACTGAGATGGGAACCTTCGTGTCATCGCATGTAGAACTCAACTCAAGATTTGAATAACAAGATGGGAAGGTGAAATATAGAGCTTGTTTGGTAGCCATTTTCTTCTGCCCATAATTAATTTTTTGAACGTTGCAACCCACTTGTCTGACAAACCATGTGAGATTGTATAGTGGTTAAAATTTCCTCATAATGCCTCTCCTACTGACACTAGACTTCTCTTTTCTTCATCTTCGAAACCAACGATTGAAACCTAATACACTACCCAAATCAAGCTACAAACCATCCACTGCCTTAGAAACTTCCACATTTCCACACATTAATGACCTCCTGCAGCAATTGTCACCGGTTCCCCTCAATCACTCCTATACGACGATGTCCAACTGATGCGGTACCGATGACCAATAATGGATCTCGCCAAGAAACAGGTACAAATATTACCTTCGCCTTCTCTCCTCTACTAATCCTCGATTTTCCTCGCTACTAACAAACTCTTCCACTTCGCAGCCATGAGACTTTCCTCAAGGACCTTCCTACCCTGCGACGGAGATGGCACGACCGTTGGCCTTGAAGTCCTATGCTCGCGGGAACTAGACGCCACCAAAGCCTTCATTATGGCGTGCGAGACCGCCATTGTCGAGGGCCACCGGAACGGCCGGTGATTTACCAAACACGGCTGGGAACGAGTCGCCACACTCTTCAACTCAGTCACCGACCATAACTGGAGCAGGCAACAGCTGCGCAATCATTGGGATGCAATGCATTGAGCATATAAGCATCTATCGGAGCTTGTGAACAACAGCAAGATCGAGTATAACAACGCACCAACCTAATCATTGCATCGAAAGAATGGTATAACCGAAAGATTAAGGTAATGGATTTACAATTTCTCAAATTCTCGTTTTCGTACTTGTGCGATTACATGATCGCTTACTGCCTTTTTGGTGCATTGGTGTTTGTTCACATGGTCATCATACAACATATTACCTAACTAGAGTGTGGGTTTAAAGTGCCGACATTGAATAATTCATTTAAATTATTTATAGTATGACTTACTCTTTTTGGTCTCAAGATTATTGTATGGCCTTTGGTGTTTCTGCTCTAAAAATTCTCGCACACCCTGGTTGCTCAAAGTTGACATTCTACTATTTGATAAATGTTGATAGTGATGGTACGTTCATTCAGAGAAACGGACTCTAATCCAAGAAACAGTACCACATCGAATAATAAAAAACACTCGCACAATGTAAACATAGGAATAAGAAGTGTGTTTGTATTGCAGCAGGTGAGTGTTTGGTCTACAAAATGAAATGCTCTTACACATTCCATAGAGGTTCACACAGTGAAACTAAGATCCCTGGTAAATTGAAAAAAGAGCAACGACGATTAATACGAGTTTTGCTTGTTCTAGTCAATGGTTGTGTCCTGTTTCATTTCTCTTCATCTTTTTTGCATGTGTTTGTTTAATGGGTTTACATTTCGGCGTCACCTTATGCAAACAGTTGTCAACGCCTACAACAATTACGAACCGGCTCGTTATAATTATTACAATGGGACTTGATTCTGATATGATAGTGGGACTATTTAACACTTTGAATATAATTTGCTTAGGTCATACGAACTGTGTACATATAACTGTGGATATAGTCATTTGTATGAAATGAGTTGCTCATGTCGTTTACTTCGCACTGTTGTACTACTGAACATGTGTCACTTCTCAATATTATACCTCTCTAGCGATTGTTCTTTTTTTGATACATTTCCAATTGCGTTTCACACTGGTACTCTCATTGTTGAACCCGTGCTACATAGGAGAACAAGGACTATAAAGACTTCAAGGACAAGGACGTCAGCAAGATATACATAAAATATCGTCAGCTATTCAACGACAGCTACGACGGAGACAAGCACGCTATCACTCCAACGAAGTTGTGTAGAACTAGATTCAGCCTGTTCAAGGATAGTGCGTCGGAAGACAATATAGATGCAATCCCAATCGATGAAGAAAGTAGTGGTTTAGTGACGATGCCGAACGAACGGGGGTCGAGGTCAACGAGAACGTTTCGACCACCACAAGTGGTGGTAAAAGGAAGTCTTCTAGTGGTCAATATAGGGGCAGGAAAAAAAAAGATGTCTGCTCGTGAACTGTCCTTCTTGGTTGACCACGCCACCAGTGCAACGGAGAAAGTGGCAGTGAAGATTAATACGATGATGGTTTTTAATGAAAGAGCTGGTGCAGACTGTGTCGAAGAGTTGTAAGTGACAAGTCGGCTCAAGCGGCGTACACCTCTCTACTTTCTCGCATGCACACTTCTTGCCCAAAAGCAGTATTGTGACATGCTCTCCGTCATGAAAGACGCAAATGAGAAATTTGAGTGGATCGAGTGGATGTTCAATGACCGTGGGAAGTAATTATGCCAATATTGTGTTTTTTTCCCGTGAGCTGTCTATATTAAAACTTTTCTACTTTTTTTATGCACTTTTGTCCGCTTGTACGTTATGCGTTTGAATATGATAGATGCTGTTAAATCTATTCCCACATTTTGCACTCAATTAAGGAAGGGAAAAAACACGTTTTTCCATAAACAACTTTTTACCCTACTAACTAAGACTGGATTTATATGTCACGTTCCAAAATTTCCCCTATCATGTCATATTTATCAGGTCACTTCTACAAATGTCATTGTTAATTTTAGGCCAAAATCATATGCCACTATGCACACACTTCAAGATGTACTGTAGTTTGGATTACTCAATGTAGTAGCACAGTATGTCCAACTTGCAGGCACCAGAGAGTAGGTGCATGTGATATGGTACTAGTCATGCACAAGCTCTATAAATTCATATGGATGAAGTTGGATGGAGCAATGTGAGGAGTTGAGAGGTATTGTGAAGAGGTCACAGTGTTTGCAAGTGCTTAAATCACACTCGCTGTCCTTTTTACGTAATTTCGAATGTTCGGCTTTGCGAATGATCTTAACTTCAACTGCGTTCTGCAACCGCATTCCAACGCAGATGATGACCTAGACGATGGCCTTTTCTTGACTTCTTTGGCAGCCGATGCAACGTCATGGGTTTCGTATTGTAGAATCACAGGAACGACGCACATGAATACTATCGTACGCCGCGGTGTCGTATCTAGCGATTTCCATTCGCAAGGAATGGTCACATGTTCATGCTAGAGGCAATGAGCGAGAATCGATAGATATGCTTTCTAGAATTTCGTATGTATCTCTCAATGTTGCGACATTTTGCACATGTTTTGCGGGACAAGCATAGTTTGCGCAATAGTCAGCAAGTTGACCTCTACGAGCAAGTTGGCATGTTCCTGTGCATATTGGTGCACGAAAAGGGATATCGACAAGTGACTACGTTATTCAACCACTCGCTACAAACCGTATGTCACTACGTGAAAGTGGTCCTACGTGCGGTCGTTACGTTGTCAGCACGTTTGATTTGACCGAGTCTGAACTACAACCAACGTTTGAAACCTCATAAGCCCAATTTGAACAAGCATCCACTGTTTCAAGATTGCATCGATGCTATTAACGGGATGCATGTCAAAGAGTACTACTGTTGAACGAGCGTGTGCACTTCATAGGACAAAAATGAGAACTGACCGAGAATGTGCTGGTCGCATGCAATTTGAATTTATGTTACACGTTCACGCTAGTAGGACATACTGGGAATACGCATGATGCTTGACTACTTGAGCGTGCCATCCACTCGTCGGACATTCATTTCCCATTCCCGAGCCCAGGGAAGTACTATCTGGTGGACCCAGAATTTGCTTTTCGGCCCGAGTATATGGCCCCGTACAAAGGTTCAGACATATTATATCACTTCCAATAGTTTCATGATGAACGAATGGGATGGCAT